GCTGAGATCATGCATTTTCCAGGCACTGCTTAAGCCGACACACACTCCTGTCACCACCCGTCACCACCCCTTTTAGCCAGAAGGATAAACAGCCTAGAGAAGGAAAGAGAAGCAATTAACCCTTGAGGTCACAGGGTCCGTGACAAGTGAGTCACGAGCTTGACACCCACGTGCTGACAACACTTAATTGCCATTTAATTAAGAGCTGTTGCAGATTATGAGAAACTGCCTATATGCTGCTGGAGTGGTGGTGGAGAGAGAGAGAGAGAGAGAGAGAGAGAGAGAGAACGAACAGCAAGAGACAGAAAAGATTGTAAACAGCAAGCTTGTTAACAGAAAAATGACAGACACTAACATTGTGGAATGGCTCTTTCATGAACTGAGATATCACAAACAGGTGGGCAAGCTTCCCAGTTCCCCAGAACTCTTCTTCAAGCTGAGTGTTCAGAACAACAATGGCAGTGGAAGGTTGTGTAGGCCATGATGGAGAAGCCTCGACTCTGCAGCTTGTAGTCTTAAAATGGAGTACAGGATGTGTTGTAGACTTGGTGGGACTAGATGCCAAACAGATTTTATTTTGCACCAAAATGTTGAGAAAAAGCAGCAAAAAACAAAACAAAGATGCCACCCTCCCTTTGAGAACAGAAAAGTCAGCAGTTGCCTCTCAACAGAATACGAAGTTCACTTGTAAGGCAGGGGGGGGGGGGAACACAAGAATGTGGAAATCTGGCATTCCTCAGCAGTGTGAAAGGAAAACAATGAATATCTAACTGCAAGCTTTGGCATAATTCTGGATTAGAATTTGTTTCATTGGTTGAAGTAAGTTTGTTGTTGTTTTATAAAGCAACATACCCTGAGTGAAGTCTTATGCAAATTGCACATTAAAAAAAACCCCTACCAATGATTTACAATTGTTCAGTCAGTTGAGGGGACTTTCAACAAGGATAGTTCAACCTCCAACGATGTACTAGGAAAAGAAAATGAAATCATGTATTGGCGGTGGTAGGCAAACTGCGGCTCAAGAGCCACATGCGGCTCTTTGGCCCCTTGAGTGTGGCTCTTCCGCTTTAGGCGTTGACGGGTAGCTGCTGGAGCCTCTCCCCAAGATACCAACCAAGTTTGAAGAACATTGGACCAGGGGGTCCAATTCTACGGGCCCCCAAACAGGTTGCCCCTATTCCCTCCATTGTTCTCTATGGTGGGAAAAAAGTAACTTTTTTCCCACCATAGAGAACAATGGAGGGAATAGGGGCAACCTGTTTGGGGGCCCGTAGAATTGGACCCCCTGGTCCAATGTTCTTCAAACTTGGTTGGTATCTTGGGGAGAGGCTCCAGCAGCTACCCGTCAACGCCTAAAGCGGAAGAGCCACACTCAAGGGGCCAAAGAGCCGCATGTGGCTCTTGAGCCGCAGTTTGCCTACCACCGCCAATACATGATTTCATTTTCTTTTCCTAGTACATCGTTGGAGGTTGAACTATCCTTGTTGAAAGTCCCCTCAACTGACTGAACAATTGTAAATCATTGGTAGGGGTTTTTTTTAATGTGCAATTTGCATAAGACTTCACTCAGGGTATGTTGCTTTATAAAACAACAACAAACTTACTTCAACCAATGAAACAAATTCTAATCCAGAATTATGCCAAAGCTTGCAGTTAGATATTCATTGTTTTCCTTTCACACTGCTGAGGAATGCCAGATTTCCACATTCTTGTGTCCCCCCCCCCCGCCTTACAAGTGAACTTCGTATTCTGTTGAGAGGCAACTGCTGACTTTTCTGTTCTCAAAGGGAGGGTGGCATCTTTGTTTTGTTTTTTGCTGCTTTTTCTCAACATTTTGGTGCAAAATAAAATCTGTTTGGCATCTAGTCCCACCAAGTCTACAACACATCCTGTACTCCATTTTAAGACTACAAGCTGCAGAGTCGAGGCTTCTCCATCATGGCCTACACAACCTTCCACTGCCATTGTTGTTCTGAACACTCAGCTTGAAGAAGAGTTCTGGGGAACTGGGAAGCTTGCCCACCTGTTTGTGATATCTCAGTTCATGAAAGAGCCATTCCACAATGTTAGTGTCTGTCATTTTTCTGTTAACAAGCTTGCTGTTTACAATCTTTTCTGTCTCTTGCTGTTCGTTCTCTCTCTCTCTCTCTCTCTCTCTCTCTCTCCACCACCACTCCAGCAGCATATAGGCAGTTTCTCATAATCTGCAACAGCTCTTAATTAAATGGCAATTAAGTGTTGTCAGCACGTGGGTGTCAAGCTCGTGACTCACTTGTCACGGACCCTGTGACCTCAAGGGTTAATTGCTTCTCTTTCCTTCTCTAGGCTGTTTATCCTTCTGGCTAAAAGGGGTGGTGACGGGTGGTGACAGGAGTGTGTGTCGGCTTAAGCAGTGCCTGGAAAATGCATGATCTCAGCGCCCACTTTGACCTTGGGTGTAGGGACTTGGATTCTACCAGCTTTTCTACTTATGAATAAGAGCTTTCTCCTTCAGCGGTGGAACTTACCGAAGCTGGTTAGGTCATGCCTCCTCTCGCTCCACGTAGTGTGCTTTAGAGATGTCCTACATATAGTGTATAGGTTCTGTCCTGACACCTGAGTGTCAGTTCTGACACAGAACATGTCTACGCTTGGAACCTGTTTAACTTCTCAATAAACAAATCTTGCTGATACAAAAGTGTAGTGAGAGTGACTGCGTCTGAGACCTGACAATGGGTTGCTAGTTAAGGCTGCTAACAAAGAGCGTATCTAGTTTGTGACCAGTCCACACTTTCAGGTAGAGATGCTCAAGCACTCATTGGTCTAGCTCACATCCTGTTAGCCGGTTGCAAACAAAGAGCCAGTTTTTCAGTGGACTGTTCTGTTTGTTTGCCTGTTGGTGGCTGTT